ATATCCCTCTGTTTATGCAGCCTATGATTTCATTGGCTTTTTTGGTGGCTGTAGCACACTGCTGGCTCTTATGTAAGTGATTGTCTAATAAGACTCCAAGATCCCTCTCCTTCAACGAATTTTCAGCTTTTAAAATATTATATTCATTGTATAATATTTGTAGCCTATATGAAATGTACATCCAACATATTAATATATATATATATTAATTTTATGTTAAAGATTTTGTTATTAGTAAATAGAAAGTAGTGTTATCATAAGATACTTATTGATAATTCATAATTATCTGTTTCCTATATCTTTATTTTTGACATTGTTTATCTTCAATTGAATTCTTATTTGTTTGGGATTTTGGCTTAGATGATTGTATTTTTTTTATTGAACATTAATTTTATCTTGATTGGAGGTGGAAACCCACATGCTGCAGATTCTATTACATGCATTTTGCTCCTAGGTGTTATTCAGAGGTTGATTTCTAAAGGCCTATAAAGACTTGGCACTTGGCATACACGAAGGCAAGGGTTCTGAAACAGCCCTTCAGGGATAAGTAAATGTATTTGTCCCTTTCCAAAATAAAATGAATGGCTTCATTCAAGTTGGGATTGGATAAGAAATCATTGTGCGTCTTACTTTTGATATTACATTTTAATTTATATTTTCCAGGATTTCTCAGACTTTGCAGTACCATGACTGCTGCCTTTTAACTTCTGCAGGCAAAACAAAAGAGGAAAATCTAGAGCAAGTTGTGACCTCTGATCATGTTTTTAAGAAAGCTTTTGATTCTGTCTCCTCACCTTTAATTTCTGGTGACCCCTATTTGAGTACCATTAAATTAAGGGAAGAGCAATACTATAAATCCATATAACTGACAAGCAGTGGAATAAACTATCCTTCCTATTCCTAAAAAGTGCAGTCCCCCAATGAAGATCCTGTATAGGTGCATTTTGTTCAATGTTTACATGAAAGTTGGGAAGGGATAATTATATCTGCTTTAAAACCAATGGCTGATTCTTTCTGCAGCTGATTGATCATGTACTGCTGAAGAATCTTAATTCTATATGTAGGATGTTGCTCCTGAATTAGGGCAATTGTTGGATTTTAGGAATCTATGGTGATTTGGTCACTTGAGCACTAATAATAAAAGCAAATATTAAAAATAAACTTTTCTTTTAGAGACTTTGAGAAGTATTGAAAAGAAGCTTAAATTCAACCATTTTATTGTCAATATAATCTAGTGATAGCAAACAATTTCATTTAGTGGGATAAAATAAGATGTTCATTATCAGGCAATTTAATTGCTTTGAAGAACACTGCAGGGTATCAGTACCACATCATTTAGGAAACATTTTTACACCCCCCACCAAATGCTTGAACATTAATGAAGTTTGGAACAGCATACAAGGACAGAACACTTTGTGGTTTCTGACCTTGTGGTTGATACTAAAAATATTACATGGCAATGTAGATTAAAGAGAATATGTTTAATCATTTGCAAATCATTACTGTGCTTTGTCTTTTGACCCTTAAGATATACTTTTTTTTTCTAGAACAAACTACTTTAAAAAGAACCTTCATATTCTATTACAGAAATAGAGCTGCTAAATGTCTGTTTTCTTGTAAATGCATTGGGGCTAAAACTTTATTTCCATTAAACGATGTATTTCCTAAGCAGATTAATTTTCTTTGTCAAACGTTGTAGGCAATTCTACAACAAAAATTAGAAGAAATAACAGTAGCTCCAGTCTTTTTATCTATCTGCCTCCAATTTGCCTCCTATCAGACAAATGTTAGAATTTCTTTTTTGGAGCTGCATATGTATATATTTGTAGGAGAGAGACTGGTTGAGTCAGAGGAAGGAGTCAAATGGGGAATTAATCTGGATTCGCTACATGGGCACAAGAGAGCAACGTCTGATTCCCCTTGAATGTTGTTGAGCCTTTTCTAGTCTTACCTAGGTGCAAACTGTCAGTCTGAGAAGATTCCTGTGTTATAAGCTTGAGCAGTAAACAGCTAGTTGAACTCTTTAGCCATGAGCCTGGCTGTTTGCACCTGACAATATGATCTTTAAAGTAATTTTAGGATTTTCTGCCCACAAATAGTAGGATTCCATTGCTTTTGACTATTGTGATCTCTGTGTTTTCTTTTTCAAAATGTCTAACTTTTCTAGATGATTGAATTAATGCAACAAACTAAGCCATTATATGGTCTATTGCATTTTGGCTTAAGAGTTGTATGAATATGACAACTGTGGTTTATTCAGTAAAGGCAAAGTGTAGCACACTGTGCAAGCTAGATCGTTTTTCCCCAAATCTGATAACTAAAGACCTTGGAGTAGTAGCATGTCTTCACTGTCATTGAAGAGAATCTTTAGGAAGTGACTTGAATGATTATAGAAAGAACTGTATATGCCTGAATTAATGATTTGTACTTTTTTCTACCCACCCATCCTTTTGTCTCTTTTTTTCAGGAGAGAGCTATGTGTGTGGTTCAATAGAGCCCTTTAAGAAGCTGGAGTACACAAAGAATGTAAATCCTAATTGGTCTGTAAATGTTAAGACCACCTCAACTTCCCGTTCAGTGCCCTCTCTAGCCACGGCCAAAGGAAGCCCTCCAGATTCAAAGGAGAACAAGGATTTCATTAGACCTAAACTGGTCACAATCATCAGGAGTGGTGTGAAGCCACGCAAAGCAGTACGGATTCTTCTTAACAAAAAAACAGCACATTCATTTGAGCAGGTTCTCACTGATATTACTGATGCCATCAAACTTGATTCAGGAGTAGTTAAGCGTCTTTACACACTGGATGGGAAACAGGTAAGAGAATTCTTTAAGCTATCAAATAAAACATTACATACAAATATAGATTTTCGGGTTACTAAGATAGTGCTTCTTAGCCCAAATACCTGTTAATGTAAATAAAATAACATTATCATAAGAGAGCCATATAGAGAAAACCATTAAAATTAGGAGCATAAGTTTCTTGAGGCTGATGTTTGCATGAAAGTAACACTTGAATTACTTAAATCTTTCTAACAGCTAAGAGCCTATTCTGTGCTCTTCTCCATTTGTGGAGAAAAAAAATCACTTAAGTGAAAATCTGAACTGCAAAGTTGTCCCTAGTGGTTCATAAGTTCCTAAGTACTGTGCCGAAAGGCAGTTCATGCAAAGTTCTATTCAACCTGAGTTCAGTGAGAAATAACCAGGGCGTGTAGTGATAGGACAGTCAATTTAATTTTTTCTAAGGAAATAAATTTAGATCAAAGTCAAGAGCACAACTTAGTTTTCAAAACTCTTCAAAAATTTTCACTGCTTGAGCTGTAAAACATTTCTCATGAGACTTCTTTATTATGTCCTGCTAAAGTAATAGGCTCTGCTGCTTAATCGTAGCAGGCAAAGGAATGGGAGAAAGTTACATCTCTTTGTCTTGAACAGAGACTGCTATGTCCGGTGAGTAAACAAAGGCACTTATCAAGCAGAAAATTTAGGCAGTGATTTAATTCTTAGCAGGAGTAACCGATTGGTCAGCTTGTATGTATTCATACAGAAAGTCGATGATTTCTATTTGGATTAAGTAACTGATGTTCCATTTTCTTGACCAGAATCATTTTTTTTCTTATATAACATTTGAAATACTAGGTTTTTCCCCCTAGTTTTTCATACTGTGCATGATTAAAGAGAAGAAATTCATAATAAATCCAAAAATTTGTTCCACTTCTGCATATAGTTACATTTCTACCTCTGGCTCAAAACAGTATCTAGAAAATCCCCAGAACAACTAATATGCCATATTGCAGATTTCCTAGATTGGATTTAGATATCTTAAAATGTTCTTGATAGAAAATATACTTTTGTTTTATGAGGAGCAAAACTCCTGTAGTACAATTAATCTCCTTTTAAATACAAATGCGAGAATAAAGTTTGTAGTGTTTGATTATGACTGATTAATAATTGGCCTTATGACTTTTGAATTTTCAATGCACATATAAGTTACTAATCCAGGGGTATGTAACTTCTATTAATTTGAGTGCACTGAGTGTCACATGGCTTGCTGGGGGGGGTGTGAGCTACTTGAAAAATGGTCAGAGACATTTTTCTTTATTATTTTTTTATGACTGTTAAACATATTCAAACATTTTGCCCACCTCTTAGTTGGGTTCTAGGGACACCAAAAAAGATGCTGGCAGTTTGCACTTCATACATCTCTGGCTTGATTCTCAGTTATTCTGTTAACATAATATGGTTAGATATATCAATACTCTGAGGTCATAAGGCACCTTTTATTTTGGTTCTAGAACTTGTAAATTTCAAAAGTCATTAAAAGATCCTTTTCTACTGTTGTTTCCATCTCTCATCTAAACTTTAAAGTTAAACAATTTAATATCATTGCTAAACAATTGCTAAACAATCTGGCTACCAATGACAACAGAATCTGTAGACTAATACTAGTAAAACTTTCAGTAAGTTTTACCATAGCCTTGAAATTTGAATTTCAAATTTGAAGTAAACATTCAGATCAGTGTGAAATACTGGCTTCTAAGACCCTGACTTTCAACAGGGTCATGAAGTTCCAAAATGATAGGCAGGACAAGAAACAGAATGTATCATAACCCCATAAAACATCTTGGTACCCTGACATCCATAATTCTTTGTTTATGAAGTATCTGATTTTTCTGTTAAGTCCTACAGCTTGGAAGTATTGCCTTTGAGGCTTTAAGGCATAACAATATTAAGATATTCCATCAAGCAAATGGAAAATCAAACTCAGTCTGAATTGTTTTAATTGTCTTTTCAACTTGAGTTAAGCAGTCATTTTTTTTGAAGCTGACAGACTGGAATGACCCCAAGGCCAATAATCGAGTAGTAAGTCATGCTTTTGATTAAAAGAGGAAATGACATTATTGATTAATTTACAGACACATGTGGCTAAAGTTTCAAACCAGAAATAACAAATCAGGCTTCTTTCAGATTATATATGTGAACTTCTTTTCAAATGTACCCATAAACAGCTTTTTAACTGTGAATAGTTCTTTAGCGTCAAGAGAGTCAACTCTCCTTTAGGACAAAATCCTCAAAGCAGCAAGCACATAGTTCAAGATGATGGGAAAACAACAAAATCTATGGTCAACTAATCTAGCAAAGGTGTAGTGGGATGAACTATATGTTAATTCTGTAGCACAGGGGTCTTCAAACCTGGCCCTTTTATGATTTGTGGACTTCAACTCCCAAAATTCCTCAGTCAGCATGCCTGGCTGAGGAATTCTGGGAGTTGAAGTCCACAAGTCATAAAAGGGCCAAGTTTGAAGACCCCTGCTGTAGCATATAAATTACATTAACTTTTCTGTCTCTGTTCCTCAATTGATTTATTTTCTGAATCTCAAAATTTACACAGGTTTTAAAAACATACTTTTAAAAAGTCCAAAAAGGTCTATTGATGTCAATAGAAACCTTTTCCTTGTACCGTATTGTGGGTATGGTGGGTGTTGCAGAGGAAAAGGGATTTTAAAAATGAGGTGATTATGGGCAAAATGTAAAGCCACCCTATATGTTGAATAATCTTCCTGCAGTAGGACAGAAAAAGGACAGCTACATACATGAATCATGAATAAAGCATTCTAAAAAAAACAGTTATTGGCAAAATATGTCATTTATTGAGCATAACATTCTATTACACAACACTGTGGCCTAAAAAGCTTATTCTCTATGAACTTCAGATAAGTGAGATGACCTAGAGGAAAGGCACTTGTTCATTGTAGTGCTTTCTATGCCGATAAAGGCTCAAAATTATCTCTTTCTAAACTGAAAGATAGATTATAAATTCCCTATGATATAAAAAACTGATCTTTCCAAAATTTACATCCTGAATAATTTATGGCTTTGTTTTGTGTTGTGTTTAAACCATCTGGCAAGATATTGTGCACTGTTAGCTGTCATCATCCCCAATTCATATAGTAACTGATCACGTTTTAGCAAAAAATAACCATCAGGTTGCGAAAGCTAGTGTATGTGATTCCAGGTGGTAAATTATATAAATGCTAAATTATGAACAAAAGCTCAGCACTATGGACATTGCTTTGAAGCAATACAGTCCATATGTCTTGATACGAACAGTGTCAGTTACAAAGAAACGATGTTATAAATGAATAGTACAAATCAGTTTGAAAAAAAACCTTTATTCATGAAATTGAAGTACAAAATTTCATCTCTATTCTCTGTGCCTTCAGCTCATATCCTATGACTTGGTAAGCATTAAAGCATTAAAGGAAATTGTAAGCTGTGTGTAGCTTATTGGTACCCTCAATATTAATGTCCTTATTAAATAGATAAACATACTAAATTACATCTCATTGCTGTTTAACACATTGATCAAATATTAAGCACAAAAAGGTAAACAGTAAGTGCAAGATATCTTCTTTCTTGTTACACTGCTCTTTTAAAGATCAAAACAATATTTGAACTGAATTGGTGAAAGACCAAACATTAAAGGGGATACTTTGAATGCAAGCAATCCAAATTGTTTGATATCAATAGTTAAAATAATAATTCAGCAAGAGAGACCTGGAGATAATGCTAGTTAGAGGAGATTGTATTGGTCTAGATCAGGGGTGTCAAAGTGCCAGCCTGCAGGCTGGATGCGTCATGGCAAAACCGCGCCCACCCCATTGCCGTTAATAAAAAAAAGTCATGATACGTCACGATATGTCACGTGACGTTGCAGGTTTGACACCCCTGGTCTAGATGGAGAAGCGTTCTGATTTAGGCAGTAATAACATTTCTTTGTCATTACTGGAAACCAAATCTGATTTATTTTTCTTTCTGATAAAACAGCATGTTTATTGGAAAAGAATAGATAAAGTGATAAATGAAGGCAATGTTTTATAGCTAAAGACACACTTTAAAAAAATAACCTCCAAGGGCAGCAACAGCCAAAATGGAAATGTGGTGAGAGAGAATAAACTCAACATCTTGGTTTTAGAGGTAGTAGATTAAAAAAATAGGTATGTTAAATGTTTATGAGGCGTAATATATTTACAGTATTTTACCTTTTATTCTCTTAAGAAAAGGAAAAAATCCCTAATAAATTTTGGTGGCCCAATCTGGTTGAAGGATCCAAAGGCTACAAAAAAAAAAAAAGAGTTTATGGGCTGAATGTACAATTGGCTTCAGGTTGCCCTGTCTCTGCTGTAAATGATATTGGGAAAGTCTCTCTTTTCTATTTCCTACATTCCATTAGGGCTGATTTGTATATATGTATCATAAAAATGCCATTTGACCTGCACATGATGTTTCTTTCCAAACCATTAATGGATGACCAGCAGCAAGTTGGATGGACTGAAATACTGGAATCATTGCTAACACTCAATACTATGAGTTAACTTTATGTCACGGAATCAATGCTATATATAATAGATAACTTGTTTCTTACTATTGAATCTTTTCCAATTCTCAGAGACTGCCTGGATAAGTTTCTGCAGTTCCCGCAGTTTTCTTGGCAAGGTTTTTCAGAAGTAGTATGCCACTGCCTCCTTCCTAGGGATGAGAGAAAGTGACAGGCCTGACACTTAGCTGATTTCATGCCTAAGGTGGGACTATAACTCACTGTCTCTCAGTTTCTAGCCTGATGCATTAATCACTACACCAAACTGGCTTTCATAACAGATAACAGGTCATGTGGGAATATGTGGGATTGGTGGAGAGATGCGTCATTCTATGCACTGTGCTAACATTTGAATAGATCCTTTACAAATAAAGTGAATTTGGTAGTGAAGTGTTTAGGTTGGTTTAGCCCTGATCAACTCACGCTTGGATTATTGCAA